GGGAGGGAGGGAGGGAGCGAGAGGGACAAAGGTATTACTGGAAATGCAGCAAGAAAATGTAGTGAACATGTCTGCACGTGCCTCTCCCTGTCTCCCTCTCCCTCTCCCTGCCTTTCTCCCTCCCTGCCAAGGCTTAAGCCTGAAACTTGGGCCCATTGATTGGCCTATTAAATTATGAGGGCTATAAGACCAACGGTAAGCGGCTAGCGCTTAGCGGCTTAGCGGAGTCCTTCAGCGCCATCAGCTCCGAGCACGCACCGCTGCAGCAACTGACCACACGAATCGGAGAGATCTCGGCAGGGGCAGGATAACCTAAGGCCAGCGTGTGACCCTCGAGCTGCCTTGCCCACCAGGTTTTCCAAGCGTAGCCTGGCCTTGGTTCTGGCCGGATCTCCCCATCTGACTCCTCGCATAAGGCACTTGCCTCCTCCATCAGCTGATCATCCGAGCTTTGGCTCAGGCAGACATCGTCTGCCAATCTGTCCCAAGTTGAGCTGCCCTCGGTGTCGCAGATGTCGGCTGCAACCGCCCCCCAGCCCATCGCCACTACACTCTTGCACAACTACGGTGGAACCAAGCAAAAGAACACAGGTCAGGCCTTGAACTCAGCCTAAGCTAAGCCGCTAGCCGCTAAACCCGGCCCTACGCCCTACGCCCTACGCCCTAAGGCAAGCCTATAAGCCCCTAAGGCCCTAAGACTTAAGGCTTAAGGCTTCGCAACTGCCCGCTCACTGGCCTACAAGCTGGCCCACCTTAAACCATACAAGGCTACAGATAAGGCCACCTTCTCAAGTTCGCTCACCCGAAATCAAGCAAATCAAATCAATGTTCTCGAATTCTCCATGAAAATTGCGATGTCTTGGTTGATCAAGAATCTCCCTGTGTTGCGGCTGCGTGCCATTCTTTGTTTGCGAAAGCATGCATGGAATGACAAGCTGAGGGCCGCTGTCAGCATCACGACAACCGAGAGCATCGATGCATGCTAGCTGCTAGCTAGCTCAGGGCCTACAGCTGATGTAGAGTCTAGAGTCTGAAAAAGCTTGGAATACACTGAACACACCGCTCGGGCTGGCGAAATCTTGTCCGGACGTCTCAGAATGCCTTCCAGCCAGCGGGAACTGGAATTGAGAGCCTGGTGAAGGCCTCTGTTAAGCAGCTTGCCAGGGCAATGAGGATCACGGGCCTTCTGCTTCTGTCGGTTCTTCTTGGGCCCAGGGGCCCACGATTGTCGAGGTTGGCAGTTCGGATTTTGGGCCTGTTTAGGGCTTAGGCTTTGGTTTAATCGATGATTTTGATGCAGTCTTCGATGCCTGAGACTTGTAGGGCCCGCCCTAAGATCCAGACCCAGTGACAGCGCGAATGCCTAGCCTAGGCCTAGGCCGGCCTAGGCTAGACCTTTAGGACACACACACACACACACACACACTTTGAAGAACAAGACATGGAAGCGAGACTAGTGACTAGTGACTAGTGACTAGTGAAGTGACTAGTTGATGACTAGTTAGACTAGTTTGATGTTTCCGCTCATCGCACAAAAGGTTTCATCGGATTGCGATCAAATATGGAAACTGACTATCGCGGACAGCATGGAAAGTTTCACGTGTCAACATCAGCACTCCATCACTGCCCGTAAACAAACCTGGTTTAACGAAAAGATTTTTGGCGGACTGGGTCCGGTCCACTGCAGGCTTGTATCCAATCGCTGCCTCATACAGTGGTTATTTGCTCAGGCGGTCGAAAGCCGGGCCGCGGGGGGGTGGGGGGGCTGGTGACATCGGTAATCAAACACTCAATTGAGTCACTCAATGGGATACTCATGTTCGATCAAAGTTGGATCGGCAGCCACCAGCTGAGTCGGGGGTAGGAGCAATGGGCCGGGCGGGTACGGAAGCGCATGGGGTGTGTGGGAAGGGGTGGTGCAGAAGGGCATTCCGTGTAACACCGAGCAACAGCATTTTGTGTACACGCCATGAAGACAAGCCGAAATCCAATAAACATGCGGATGTTTTCGCAATGGCAGCTGTTTTCGCAATAAATTATATTACATGTGGTAAGTTCTGATGTTACCGTGCACAAGAAAGGAACGAGGAGCCTTGTAAGCAAGGGTTTTGGCCAAACCAAGAATAATTGTCTGTGATTTTGGTCGTAAAAAAATTGTAATGTTTGTCCAAAAAAAATCGGAAAAAAATCAAAAATCCAAAAGCAATGATTTTCATGTTCGTAAATTTGAAAACCATGATTTCGTAAATATTTCATAAAATTTTTTTGAGGTTCGTAAATTTGAAAACCACGATTTCGAAAATATTTCGTAAATTAATTGATTTTGAAAATGATCTGGGCTCCGGAGCATGCCGGTCTCAACGCTAACAACTTACCATCCAAGGGGCGCCGCCCATCGTCTCTGCGGGCATATCTGCCTCGTCTCCGGTCGTCGTGGCGAGCTCCGCCTCGACGTCGATCGTCTCGCCGATCGCCTCAAGGCTCCCGATGGCTCCGCATGCCTTCTGCCACCCTGAAAGCACATGCCTCGGCCCCTGCACCCCTCCACACAGCATCCAGCAAACTGAAGTCAAGCTGCGAGAACGCGATCGCCTTCGAGACCTAGTTCGCGACCTCTCCCCATGACATGAACAGGCGTAAGCTGTTTCACTTGAAGTACCAGTATCAGCCACAGGCCTCTGTCGCCTGCCTCGAGGCTCCTCCTCGTTTTTGGACTTGGCCTTCAGATCTTTAAGCACATGCGGAGCTGCAAACACCAGCTTTCCTCATCATTCCATTCAAATCCAAATCCAAGAAGCAGGACGTTTTTCGTCTGCAGCTTTTTTCTCTCTGGGAGATTGGCTCTCCTCCTGCGCAGGGACATCCGTCAATATCAGCAAATACCGCATGATGGAATACCACTTGTTGGACATAACTTGATAAGAACCATGTAGTTTAACAACAGATGGCTTCCACACAACCCATGGCACCTAGCAACAGACGCGGAAATCACTCTTGTGACCATGTGACCCAGACCTCGGCATCAGAACTTGCCTCGGCTTGCACTGCAAGGGTGCAAGGGTGTAACTGGTTGCGAATTCTGCGAATGTTCCTCGAAAACCCACAAACAACTTGCAGCTCCGGCCCAGGTGCGTCTGACTTTGCTTTTTTCTTCTTCGTCGCCATGACGAGGACTATAAGCTAACCGCAAAGAAGTGAGCAAAAATGCTTCATGACACAGGGTCAATGCATCTCCTTGCACTGCGACGCAAGATCCTTGCACGGCTCAAGAGGCTGGCACGGCGGACTCCAGCGGACTTGATCACTCGCCACTCGCGGTCGCAAGTCAAAAGCGCTCGCCCTCACCGGTCCAGCGTGGAAGTTGCTGAGGCCCGGTTCGGCAAAGTCTAAACGTTTGCAGTGGGAAGCAGTGGGACCCTTCACGGCTGAGAGCATGGCTGGGCCATGCCCTAGGTTCACTGTCGGAGCGCCCTGTGCACAATCATTGGCGCACAAACTATGTTCGCATTGCCCGGGGGAGCATTCGCTGTCTTTAGATCTTTGTCAAAAAGCTTGAAGACTGACGGTCAACTTGCAATGCTTCCCCTGACTCAAGGCTGCCCTGCTGAGCTATGAATACAAAGGGCAGGCCACGAGAAGAACCCGTGTCAACCAAGCGTCTCTCCAGGCCTCGTTTGGCCAGAGAGAGAGTCCTTCGGATCTCAGAAAAAAAGGCTCTCGAGTTCGAGTTCGGGAAAGTCTGTAACATCGCCCAGGCAAAGCCAGGCACATGCCCTGAATGGACAGCCAACCACGTGGCCTCTGTACAGCATCCGAACGGATCAGAATCAAACTAGAGCTTGATCTTGGCAGGATCCCAAGACGAAGGATCGAACATGCTGTGAAGCCCGTCGAACATACTGGAAAAGGTTGCGCACATGCCGCTGGTCAGCTGTGTTTCCAACTCCCCGTTACCAACATAGTTCTTCCGCCACATCACCCGTGGCTCGTCCGACTCGTAAGGCCTTCGGCCGTGTGCGACGGCACGATTGTCGATAACCAGGATCTCCCCCGGCACCAGAGGCACCACCAGCTGATGCACCTCCGAATTCAAGGGAACTAATCGACAGCTGATGGGGCAAACAAATGATTGACCGGCTACCCCTTCGTGCCTCTTTCCGGGCGATCGCATCCATCTGCTCGTAAGAAGGCTTCACTTCTTCGGCCACGTCGCCCAGGCAACCATCATTGCAGCGCCAGCGCACCTGTAGCCACCCAGAGTCTTTGTCTACCCAGAACAGCGGTATGGAGCTGACTTTCATCCAGGATCCATCTCCGGCTGGTCTGCGGCCCATAGAAACCATGCCGGGCTGCATCAACGTTCTCAGTTCCTCGTTGGAGAGAGCCGCCACAAGATCCGCGCCAGAAACCAGCACAGACTCGCCGCCACCAGAGGGGGCAGATTGGCGACACTGCAACGTAAGGAACCTTAGTCTCCCGAGGTCTCCAAAAACAACGCTGCGCCTCATGATTCATGACCTTGGAGCCGGAATGTATTTGTTTCAGAACAGCACTGCAGTCCGCTCTAGTGAACCGGCGTTACTACCAGTTACTACCCTCCGGAAGAAAGTGCATTCAATGACTACCTGAGCAAACTGCACCGAGGAGCGCGGAAGGGCTATCTGTGTAAGCGTCGTCCGTGTGAGGCAAGTGTTCCTTCATCGGGTTCGCGGTATTGATGCTGGTCGGCTTGGCGGGATTAATCTCTACGATGCCAAACTCATTCATGGCATCGTGATGTATGTAGCGACCGAACCATCGGTCCAAAGTCTTGTATGCTTGCAAGCCATCGTCAAAGTCTTCTTGAACGAGAACAGTAGCACCGTATCGATTCATCATGAAAACGAACTCGTGCTGCTCTTCGTCCGTGATTTTTGCGATGGATTTCACTCGTAACCTTGTACAGACCAAACTCACGACAAGCTGTTGATAGAAAGCCAACGACACTGCAGAGGTGCACACCTACGAGACACACGCAGAAAGCTTGCGTACAGACTGAACATGCTCTGGCTGATCCTGTATATCACGGCAACCGGAGCGTGTCTGGGTCGTTCGGAAGCACTTTCAAGTCATCGCGAGAGCCATCACGTGGCAAGACTTCTTGCAACGGTACCGCAGGTTTCCTCGATTCACCTGTCATGCAAAAGCCATTGCGGTATGACATGCAACCTGTTTGAATCTACCCTGCGAAACCTTGCTAAGGCCGGACCCTTTGCAGCGGGACCTGCGCTTGAGCTTGCTTCCGCCATTTTGCTGAAATGTCTCATTTGCCCAGGGCCGCGTGGCGGCTGCGCGGGAAAGCGATTTCCCAACGCAGCCACTCCACGCCAGCGGAGCGCTTGTATAAGCTTCATTCCACCCTCGATAAGTTGAACCTCATCACAAAGACTGCAGGTACGCTGGCACAGACACAGCTTGAAAGACTGGCTGAATGAGGCCCGCACTGGTAGCACGTGAAATCAGCACAACACCATGATGTTCATACCATGATTCTTGAACATAGAAACAGCATCTGAACATGCGTACGATTTTGGCAGCATTCCATGCACGAGAAACTCAAGGGGGTTGCAGGCCAAAATCATACTGCGGCCTGTTCCCGAAATTCAGACGTTTCGAATCCTCGGGCGTTGATTTCGAGACATCTGCTACGCATCGGAAGGCACACAGCTACATTGTGGTTTTATTTGGCGAAATTGTCTCATGGTGACAGGCGAGAAGACAAAACGCACATCGGAAGTGAACACTGCCTATGCAGGACGTGAGATTGATGCACGCACACTCCCTTCTTTTTGAGGCCAAAGCAAACGGGTGCGAAATGGATTGAAGCAGCAACCTACGCAGATTCACCTCGAACACTTTGTGTCTACATCAAGAAATTGAAGAAGTTTGAACTGAATGTGTGAATCAGTCAGGTGTTTGAATGACCCTGCAAGGTATAACATTTCCCATAAGATGGCAGTGACCATGCCTCGGCACGTGCTGACTGCCTGTTTTGTGGTCCGGCACATCTGACTTAGCAAAGGCGTGGCCGAAATGCGCAAGTCAGTGCCCTCTGTCCTGCAGGCAAGACTGCAAGAAAGAGACATGTCTGCCTTGACAAATCATGCTTCCGCAAGACATGTAAGGACATACCGAAAACTGCACACAATTGTTGAAAGCAGAAAACATCTTCTCTTGGAGGATTCGGAGAAGATTGATTCTACTTGATTTAAACTTCACATGGCGATTGCAAGGTTCGCAGGCGAAGAAAAAGCATGCACATCGCAACTGTGTGAACTGGATTCAGCAGCAACACGGATTTCACCTCAACCACTTTGTGGCCGCATCGAGAAATAGAATTTGAATTGACAGTCTGAACCTGTCAGGTGTTCAAATGATCTGTAAAAGGCATTCAACTCAAACTTCTTCAAGCTCTTGATGTGAACACAAAGCGGTCGAAGTGAATGTGAAGGTTACCGCTTCAATTCTGACACCAAAGAATCGCAATTCCACGGACGTCAGAATTGAATTCGAGACATCAATCGAGTGGTGGACCAGGTGTAGGAAACGGCCTGCCACAGGGCGGCCTTCTGTAGGAACCAGTGGTAGGAACCAGCTCCAGGAAACCGCCGAAACAATTTTTTTACGCATCTTCCGCAAGAAATGACCTGCGCCACCAGTGAGAAACGGCCTCTAACTCCAACAATTCAATGCTGCTTCAAGTATTCCTGCTATCAGTTCCAACACAAGTCTTTTCGCATGCATACAATCTCGAACTGGCAGCTTGAGAAGTTGCAAAATTATTTTAAACTAGTACACATCTTCCTGCACGACTGAAAGACGTTTCAGAACATCCATACCAGAACCGTATTAAATATCAGAAGATTGCGAGAAAGCTCCAAAAACAACGTCAAGTCCGTCGGACAACGAGCAATTCCTCTTTGTTTCTACGTGTTGTGCACCAAAGTCCAAGGCAAGTAAAGCCAACCGGAAGCCTTTAAGACGGAAAAGAGACACAGTATTTGCGTGACCCTGCAACCTGGTGAGAAAAAGAAGAGAAAGCCAGACATGGCAGACCAAAGGTGGGGCTGGGCCCCAGACCTTCG